CCATATGTTTTACATTTCTCTGTATAGCCATAGATACAGATAAATACTTTCTAGTGTTGGGGTGCCTGGGTGGCTCAGTTGGTTAAGCATCTGCCTTCGGCTAAGGTCATGATCCCAAGATCCTGGGATCAAGCCCTGTGTCGGGCTCCCTGCTCAGTGGGGAATCTGCTTCTCCCTCGCCCTCTGCCCCTCCCCCCCACTTCTGCACTTGCTCTCTCTAATAAATAAAATCTTTACAAAAATTACTTTCTAGTGTTTACACAAATGGAATTATGCTTTAGCTGCACTATGCTTTACCTTTTCCCTGTGAACACATTCTGTCCATCTCATTCTTTTTAATGGCTGTATAATATTCCATTGTATGGCTACATTATAATTCAGACTATTATGATGAATATTTAGATTGCTACCAGGTTTTTGCTAATATGTCTGTTGTGATGAATATCCTTGTACCCTTATACTAATTTGTATTTGTGGAAATAGAATTGGTCAGTCCATAGGTAAGCATATTAAATGCTTGCTGTCTTAAATTCTCTTCCAAAGAAGATTTTTTTTTTTTTTTTTTTTTACAAACTTGCAGCCCTACCACCAGTATGTAAAGGTTCCTGTTTCACACATTAGTTTTTAAGGTATAGGTCTTCACAGGATTCTTGTAGCTTTTGTGAATCATTTAATATTACATTGAAATTCTTCAGGAGATACTTAAAATTTGCCACATTAGCTATATAGTCTCTTGGGTACTAATATTAAAGAAATGTATTGGATGGAATGGATTAAAAATTAAGGTGATTCATTTTATTTTCTCAGTCTTGGCCGGACTACTAATCTTGTGCTCCATATCAGCCACTGATTACTTTGGAAGCCTTTTTGGTTTTTCAGTAGGCTTTCTCCTAGCATCTATATTTGGGCCTTCAGGTGAATATGAGAATAGAGATGGAGTCATTTTCTTGAAGACTCTGCCCTCTTCCAGGTGGTCCATATATAATAACACCGTAATTTGCTTCTTATCATTGGTACTTTGGTGAAAGAGGCCCTACACCAAGCAAGAGCCCATTTGAAAAATTTGAGTTGTAGGCAGTAGTTTTACTTTACTGAGGGACATCATGTACCATTCTTTTTTCCCCTCCTCTTTAAAAAAAAAATCATTTGGCATTTTCTTTCAGCTTATGGAATTGTAGCCACCCCCCCCATCCCCCCGCCTTTGGTGGTTTAGATCAGCCTCTCCGGGCAGTACTTTGAAGTCTGCAAAATACATTGGTAATTTAGGCTGACATACTTGGCAGGCCCATTTAAAAAGCAGAATTGTTTGATGGCATGACACAAGAGGTCTGTTAACTGAGTTATAAAGAACTGAGGCACTTCCAACAAACCCTTGTTTTTGGCATGAAATTTAAATAGTTCTTACTTTGTGGCATGCAGTGAGTGAACTTCCTGTGATGTAATATGGTCCCTCAGTGCAAAATATGAGGAAATGAGATTTTTACTATACCTAGCAGTTTCTCCAAGGACGAATGGATGGAACTGAATATGTGGTTATTTCCTCGTTTAATTCAGTTCAACTACAGCAAAGGGAATATCTTAGTGAGATGGGAGGAAGCAAGTCTAGAGGGAGTGATAACGCTTGGGAAATGTGGAAAAAAATGGCCAATCAGTGGTGGGAGTTGGAGGGACTGCCTAAATAGCTTAATTCTTACAGTGGGTTTAGTACAAGACCCTAAAAATCTGCGGCTTTTCTTAAAGATATTGCAGAATCGAATCCAGGAATACATAGCTCATTTGTGTATGTGTGTTATGCAGACATCCTGAAACCTTTCTTGAATAGAGTATAATTTAAGTCCTGTATTTTTTATTGTAAGTTCATCATTCTAATTATCAGAATCACTCAACTTGTTCTAAATTCTAAGTCTTTAAACCAGATGTTGCTCCTCTTATCAGAAGGGTAAGTTTTATGTAGTTTGGAGATCAGGAAAGGAGTATTCCAAGGCACAAAGGTTACCAAAATAAAGCTTCCAGTTTATGTTGCTAAGCTGTCTGAATGTTGGCATTACTATTGGGTTCTTCTCTCCCAGCAAAAATGGAACAACAAAGTAGTTTGAATACATGTTTGTATGTTAAAGTGGAAGCATGTGACCCCAACAAATGGGTACCATATGGCGAAGATACCCAGGAGCAAGTCAGTAATATGAAAGGGATAATTTAGTTCTGTTTCATTTCATTTTTTCCCTTCAGGGAGTGTGCGTGTATACGCGAGCATGTGTGTGTGTTCCTACGGAGAAATCAAGCCCCTCATTTGAGTTTATGCATGTGGTTGGTTTAGTGAGGTTTTATGCCTTCCTGGTTTTAATATTAATCTTTATTCTTACACCTTCCATTAGAGCATTTAGACACCAGATTTCCTTATTCTTGCAAGTGGAAACGAGAGAGAGAGTGACAGTGGTACAGAACTCCCTTTCCTACATCAGTGGGCTCTTGTGCTGACTTAGAATGTGGCCCACTGACTGGGCCTGGTCTTTTTTTTTTTTTTTAATTTTTTATTGTCATGTTAATCACCATACATTACATCATTAGTTTTTGATGTAGTGTTCCATGATTCATTGTGCATAACACCCAGTGCTCCACGCAGAACGTTGGGCCTGGTCTTGTGTAATAGTTTTATGTGTGTGTTTACCTCCCTCTCCAGGCTTTGTTCATTAATTCAGAAATTAATTGTTGAGGGCTTAGTCTGTGCAGGCCTGGAGCTGGCTTTGACCGTATCCCTCCAGGAATACCTAGAGCCGAGGGCCTTGAATGTAGAAGGCACTAAGAAATGGTACAAGGCTTATTTCTCTACATGTGTTCAGTCAGAAGTTTCACTCCGAACACACTTTCCATAAATTACAATATTGTTGAATGCTAGAAACTTTAAGGACTTCAAAAATAAAACACTTGAGAATACTAAAATATGTGTCCTATCAAAACCATTTCAAGAATCTATATCTTTGACTATATTAAGTAGGTGTATATCTATCAATAAGTTTGCTCTTATATTATTTGTTTTCATCTAAGTCCTTCAGGGATTTTCTCCTCTAAATCCTTTAGAGAGGGGCACCTGGGTGGCTCAGATGGTTGAGCGTCTGCCTTCAGCTCAGGTCATGATCCCAGGGTCCTGGGATTGAGCCCCGCATCGGGCTCCTGGCTCAGCAGGGAGCCTGCTTCTCCCTCAGCCTCTGCTTCTCCCTCCCCGCCTGCTCGTGCTCTCTCTCTCTCTCTCTCTCTCTCTCTCTCTCTCTCTGTAGCTCTGTGTCTCAAATGAATAAATCTTAAAAAAAAAATCCTTTAGAGACTTAGGGATTTCCAGTGTTTAGTAAAAGAACATGTGTTCTAGAGCCAGATGATACTGGTCCATTTCTGCTTTTATAACTTATTAGCTATGTAATTAATTACAGTTAGCTCTAGCCAGTTGGCTTGACCCTGGGCAAAATCTTTCTGAGCCATTGTTTCTCCATCTTACTTTTCCTATCCTATTTTATAGGGATGATAAAACTCACTTTACATGATTGTCTTGAAAATTAAATAAGATTATATAGAATGATAGGTGCTAAGTACCTAGCACATAGTAGATAATCAGTTGTTAGTTTCACTTTTTGCCCCATTTATGTGCTCCCTTTTATATTACTTTAGTAGTATGGTGTCTTAAGATACCCGTGTTTTATTTGGATATCTAGAAGGTAAAAGACATTTTATATTTTGTCTATGGAAATGGCTATGGGAATAAATCTGTGGGAGAACTTTTGCTCAGCACCTGCTAATATAAAGTAGATTATTTTCGGTTCTCCCCAGATACTATTTTGTAATTCTTTCTGTAATTTGAACAGCAAAATGAAGTCCATATTCATTCAGTGTTTGTATCAGAGCAGTCATCTCCTCTGGAATTAAAGGGCCACAAGTGTATATATCTGTTAAGATTAAATGCTCACTGTTGAGTTTGAGTTTACCTTTATACGCTATACACTTCTTTTTGAAAAGGGGTTTTAATAAAGTTTCAGATCTTTGTAACCATGACTACAAGATACAAAACAGCTCTGTCACGACCAAAACCCACCTGTCACGTTTTTCCCCCACATCGAACCCCAGGCAACCACTGTCTGTTCTCAGTTGCTATTGTTTTGCCTTTTCCAGAATGTCCAAAAAATGCACTTATATGTAGCCTTTTGAGACTGGCTTCTTTCATTCAGTAGAATGCCCTTGAGATTCATTCAAGATGTCAAGTCTGTTAATAGTTTGTTCCTTTTTATTGCTGAGTAGTATTCATTCCACTGTATGGATGAACCACAGTTTGTTTATCCAGTCACCGGCAGGGTTCTTTTGGATTGCTGCATGTCTGTCTTAAAATAGTACATTTTGTAAGTTCTGATTTTCAAAGTGGAATAATACATAATAATCAAGGAACAATTGGAAAATAGATGAGACTTGGAAAAAAATGATCTCTGCTCAAATATAACCTCTGTTGACATTTAGGTATATTTCTCTTCAGTCTTTTTCCTGTTTGTAGAGGGTTTTTTTTTTTTGTTTTTTTTGGGGGGGGTTTTTTTAGCTTATTTTTACATTGGTGTGATTCTTATCTTCCTGTTTTGTAATTGTGAGGAGTATCTGTGTATATGGTTTAAGAAGATTGTAAAGCAAATACTACTGCAGCCATCCAAACTAATAGAATAGTGCCAGTATCTTAAACTTCTTGTAAGGCTCTTCCCCATCATATCACTTCTCAGAGTAATCACTGTCCTAACTTTTGTGATAGTTGTTCCCTTCTTCACTTCATGGTTTTTCAACCTTTGTGTGTTCTTTAAACGATATAATTTTGACTTTTTTTTGAACTTAATGGTCTCTCTCTCTCTTTTTTTCCAATTTACTGTAAGTATTTGCTCTAGCACTTAAGTTTCATAAAGATGCTTTTTAGGCCCATAGTACTTTCTTAAGTAATGGTCACCGTGGCCTGGTGGCCAATTCTTTTATTTTTTCAGATGTAGGTGCAAGAAACTACAGGCATCTCTGTGCTGTTTATTACAACAAGAATCCTGGGTTCGAGATAATCCATGGGCTACTAGACAGAATCATGCAGTTGCTTAATGTGCCTCCTGGTGAAAAGAAGGGCGGATATGTGATCAAAGCATCAGAAGGTAAGACTGATGGCTGAATCCAGAGTTAGTGATAATGTCATGAAGAGTCCAGGCCCTATTTTTGATAGTTTTTTCGGTTTGATTGGGGTGAGGAGGTGGGAAGTAGAACTTCATTTCATTTAATTGTTAGTATTTTCCAGAAAACATTCCTTTTCCCTGCAGCATCTTAGGAAAATGCTTGTAGGGTCTTCTGGTTTTGCACAAAATACTTCTGTTTCAGCTGAGTGTGGTAACCCCTAGTTATTGGCACCGTCAAGCCCCTAGCCCCATGGTGAGACTTCTGAACTAAGGAGTCCAAACTGGAAGCTGGGAGAACCTAACCTGATGATGTGCACTCAGAAGCTGCCCATCTGAAGCCTTTAAGGCAAAAGAAAAACCTGACAAGTTATCCTGAGAGACTTCACATGTTAATCAAGTCCTAAGGTTGACTGAGGAAGAGTGAGATTCCTCCTGTATGAAAGCCCAAGGGCAGTAAAATGCACTGGGGAGTTTCAGTTAGGCTAACCAGACGGAGTCTATGTACTACTGATGCACCTGGGTTCTCCTGATGGGAGGCATTCTGGAGTTTTTGCTTTTAGTATCCCTGTAGTTTGAATCTGAGTTTGTTTTGTTAGACTAGAGATCCAGAATGAACTTGAAAGAAATATTTGACCACTCGTTCCTACTGCTTACCTGACAATTTTTTATCATTATTTGGCCTCTTAAATTTCTAACAGAACATTCATTTTTTTAAAAAGTGTTATTTGGCAGTTACGTATAGTGGAAGGAAGCAAGGCAGGCCGCATGAGCAAAGACAAATATGATGGCATATGTGGCCTAGTGCAGTTTGGTTTGACTATATGGTGAGGAGGAAGCTTAGGACTATATTTAGCATCCTCAGTGCTAGAATAAGGGATTTTAGCTAATAGAAAAGTACTGAAGCATTGTTTTGTTTTGTTTTTTTGGTTTGTTTGGTTTTTTTTTTTTTTTTTTTTGTTTTTAAAGCAAGTAAGTGAAATAACAGATCTGTGAGTCCAAGGGATTAATCTGGCAGCAATATGGAGGTTGGGAAGCATAGAAAGTAGAGGTAAAGAGGATGGTTGGAAGGTATGGGAGTGTGTCTACTGTGGTAGAGTCTACACCAAACTACAGTAGTGAGGAAG